TTCAATTCATTCTTAGGTAAAGTGGTAGAACCTGAGATTTCAATAAAAAAAACTTTATTGAAAAATAAAAAATTAATATGCTGTACATCTGATTTTTCTAAGACATGAAAAGCATATTTTTAGGCAAAACTTCGGAACGGCAAATGAGGTACAGATTTTCGTATATTTAAAAAACTGGGAAAAAGGGGCGTAGCCACCCTCTTTTCCACCTTTCTGTCAAATATGCTTTTCATGTCTGAAAAAAATCAGTGGTACAATGTATCAGTTTTTTTTCCCTCCGGATCCTTACTTTAAGACATGACATGCACAGGAGGTGGGGGAACTGTGAGAAGGTCAACAGCAATGGGGCCCTATCGAGATTTGTCTATATGCAAATTATAATGTGTACACTTTTAAAGAGCACAGGACATTCTTTGAGAAGAGTAGGGCATTACCCTGATATTCTGGTCCAGTCCCACATGTGCTTGAAATAACCTCTGGCAGTAGAAAGTTCATCAATGCGATTTGTAACCACATGAATAAGGCACTATACAAATACATGTAACATTATCTAACACTCAAATACAAAATCTGACTATTGGCTAATTGATTTCAGTAATCACAAGATTAATGCAGATTCTCACCTCAATCTCCTTCTCTTTCTCCTTCTCCTCACTCGATAACGGTTTGATGACCCTGACAAAATTCTTAGGAAATATTCCTTCTTTGTCTTTATTGCGTCCACAAAACCAATCAGCATTCACTTCCCTCAATAAAATAATTACATCATTTTCCTATAGAAAAGAAAATAATACAAGTACACTGTGCAAATCCGACAAAATGTGTCAAATAGTATTGTAGAAATTAAGTTGGAAGATTCTTAGGCTGGATGATTTGTACCATGATGATTCATTCAAGCAGCCCTTTATTCCCATAATTTTGAGAATTTGTACCATAGATAATTTACTCAAGTTGACCCTTAATCCTCTATGCTGGACAATTTGTACCATAGATGATTCATTCAGGTGGACTATCATCCCATATGCTGGACAATTTGTACCATAAATAATTCATTCAAGTGGCCTATTAACCCCATAAGCTGGACGATCTGTACCATGGATGATTCATTTAAGTCGACCCTCACACCATAAGTTGGATAATTTGTACCATGGATAATTCATTCAAGTGGACTCTTAATTATATGCTGGACGATTCACTCAGGTGGACTATTCATCCTGAAAGCTGGATGATTTGTACCATGGATGGTTCATTCAGAACACGTTACATTTTCATTGCGGATTTTTATGGCTCAGTACGGACTCCAAAAGTATGCATTTTCTTTTAGTTTTAAGGCGTATGGAGATTTTGTAAGTCCGCAATGACGATATAACATGTTTCAGGTGGAGGAATTAATCTCATGTTGAAATATTTCTACCATATATCACTTTGTAATGGTTACAAAAATAACAAAGGTTTGTTTCAGCATACCTCAAATGAGAGTTCATCACTGTTCGTTGCTTGGAAGGAGAACTGTGCAATACTATGTGGCTTTTCTACCTAGAATGTAGAAAAGGGGACAGGGGAAAGGACAGAAAAAAGTGATTTAGCTTCATAAAAAATGTATTTCAATTTCAAATTGGAACTCTTCAGGCATGCAGTATTCTAATAGCATAGGCGTTATACACATCTAGATGTGTATAAGAGACAGGTTGGTGCCTGATGTACAATACACAAAAAAAAATTATTATATAAACTGTAGCACCCTAAGAAAGTATAATACATACTCCAAGTATTGAAATACACGCCATCGTGTTGGGATTCAATATTTCGACATTAATTATGTCATCATCATGATGATGACATAATTAATGTCGAAACATTGAATCCCAACACGATGGCGTGTATTTCAATACTTGGAGTATTATACTTTCTTATCTGAGATTAATCAGTGGACCTTTCGGTTTCTGTAGCACCCTCTATGTAATAATCACAAAAAAGTGTGCCCTCTATGTTATTTAATTAAAAATTTAAGTGACTGTAACAGTCCTCGGATGGTATAACTTCATTAAAATATTGCCTGAATTCACATTTTAATGATGAATTCAATTCATTTTTATGAATTTTTGGGTATAATCGGCTTCTCCGATTTATCTTTTATATAAACATTTTTTTGATGCTTGAAATAACAGAACGTAGATGCGAGATGTAAAAAATAATGGTAATGCGTGAGATTCGTGCATTATGCCTGAGATTTGGCAGGTGTACACTAATTTATATCTAGGCTTGCCCTCAGATCAGAACAGTGTTGATGGCACCCTCAGTCCTCAGTCACTTACTGTATACTTGAATAAAGGATGGCCAGGTCCCGGCCTTGGAGGTAAGCCACTTACTACTGAAAAAAAAAAAGAAACCAAGAATGTATATGTTATAACCAGGCAAATATACTGTATTTCTATGGGGATATGTATTGGAAAAAAGCATATGTCTGTGCGTAGAAAGTGGGAATTAAAGTTCTGTCCGAACTATGTTATGCGATAAGTAACTGTGATATGCCCATATTTGGTTGTAATACGACATCATCATGCACATGTATATGCACATCAAATCACACAAATGTGTCACAGAAACTTTGATATTGTTAACAAGCTATTATGTGAAGAAATGAGAAAATGTTTGGCAGAGGTGATGTATATGGAGAAATTTGAGGATGTGTGCATGTCTACGGGGTGGGAATGTTTTTCGCAAAGGTTTGGTAGACCCTTAAAAGAATTCGATGTTGCA